CGCAGGCTATCAAATTGATTCACGTGTCATAATTAGTAGTTGAGCCTATTAGTTGCACCATTGTATGTGTTGCATAAGGCATATTTTGCATTACGTAGGACCATGCAATTTTCTAACTCTTTTGTTTTTTTTGGCTCGTCTCAATATCGCATGCGTGTGATTGTTGCCATGTATAACATGCTTGCTATGAGGCTAAGTACTTATTGATAAATTGCTTGAATGCCTGTGGATGAAGGCTGATTGCTTGAATTGGAATAATTTGAGTAATGTGCATATGCGATCATTTTTTCAAGTGGTACATATTCGAAACAATTTTCAAACAAACATGAATCAAAGTGTTCCAATTTTTGTAAATTAGTCTATGCTTGTGTACGCATCACATAGTAATGTTAACCTCATAATCGAAACAAGAGCATGTAATGTAAATAAGATTCACATCATGATTAGTAGAAGCCAATCTTTGATCGGGCGAGTGGAGTGCTTAATTCATGACCTTCCCCTCTCGTACCTAAGTTCTCGAGCCGAGACAATCTTAGTGATGACGGACACGTGGCCTTTTGGAACGAGTTATGGGTTTCCTAAATTTCTCAAAAATATTTAGGTGGCGACTCTGTATCTGGAAAAGCAGTTTATTTTTTGAATTTTGATTCAAAATTGATTTTCCAAAAGATTTACCGAATTTGGACTATTTTGTGTTTATCTATTTCACATTGCACTTGTGAGATCAAATTCAGAACCACGGGAGTCCAAACTGTAGGGCTAGTCGTATCCAAAAGGAGCACTAAAAGTCGAACTATAGTAAGGTTTGTTGAATACTTTATCTTTATAAAAAAAATTATGTTGATTAGATATTAATAACCACTTGATCATATCACATTTGTGTCAATAATTTATTTTAAAACCATACTTACTATTGACCCAAATTTAAACTGATCAAGTGGCCCCGATCAACGTGATTTTTTGCAGGATGAAATACTTGACGAGTTCTACAAATTAAATGATTTTGGATCATTGATGTAGGCTCTATAGTGGGCACATGGAGGCCCAACACCACGCTCTAGTTCTATTTCATACTAGAGAGGAACTTGAGCCCTTTTTAGTTTTTTTTTTTTTTTTATAAAAAAAGTCATACTTCAATGGTAAAAGTGTAATCAAGATTTTAAAAAGTGGCCATAATCGTTACATAACATCGTTACGTTATGGTTGTGATGGTTACCATCGCTTATTACAGTCGTTATAGCGGTAACAGAAATTCACATGTATAACGGCCAGTTCGGTGTTATATAACAACCATAACGGTCTTATATGGTTCATACAAAAGATTATATGATTTTATTTATTTATTTTTGATTTCATTACATTAGCATGTAAAATAAAAAAAAGTCATACTTCAATGGTAAAAGTGTAATCAAGATTTTAAAAAGTGGCCATAATCGTTACACAACATCGTTACGTTATGGTTGTGATAGTTACCATCGCTTATTACAGTCGCTATAACGGTAACAGAAATTCACATGTATAACGGCCAGTTCGGTGTTATATAACAACCATAACGGTCTTATATGGTTCATACAAAAGATTATATGATTTTATTTATTTATTTTTGATTTCATTACATTAGCATGTAAAATAAAAATATATATAAACAATGTTTGTATTTTTTTTTATAATCATTTTATTTAATATTTAATTGTAAATATTTTTTATTTTATTACTGTAATATGTTGTATAAAATATGTCTTTAAAAAATAAATAAAATCAATAACTCAAAAATAATTTTGTTTATGACACAATTTTTATTTTTATAATAATTTTATTTAATACTTAATTGTAAATAATTTTATTTAGTTAGCTGTAAAGTATTGTGGTATTGGTCAAAAATAATTTGTAGACATTTAAAATCAATTATTCTTAAAGTCATTAACTATTGCAATAAAATGTAAAACTCATTTTATAGTGATTTAAAAATATGAAAGATATTGGGTCATATTTAAAAACTAATAAAAATTGATCAAAATCTATTTTAAACCCCAATAAATGTGATTTTGAAAAGAAAAAAAAAATGTGTATCGGTAAGTTTTTTTTAAATTGTGTAACATATATATATATATATATATATAAAATCATAGTCCGATTACTATAACCATTACGTTACGGCCTTTACACCTTACTACCGCACCACCACATCCGTTACGGCGACTCCGATCATTTTTTAAAATCTTGAGTGCAATTTATTATAAATAAAAAATGTTAGAAGTTTCAAATAAATTATCAAAATTTTTACATAATACTCACATGGATATGAATTTAGTGTAAACCCTACCCCTATGTGACTATTGCGTAATTTTTTTAACAGGTCTTCTGGGATCCCTGTAGTAGCCCGGGTCAAACCCAATCCTTTTTGCCTTTACGTTTTGGTATATGCGTTGTTTCAGTTGATCTTGGACCTTGTCTTGTTGATATTTGATTTCGGAACACCTTGGGTTAGCTTTGGAATAGGCAAATTGATTTATGCTTGAAGCTTGTTTGCGCCTGTGAACAATATGGCCCCTGATCAGAACTCATTTTTATTAATGATAAATATGATTTTAAAAATAAATTGCTAACAAAAATGTGTTCTGATAAGGGGTTATCGATATTCGATCAATGTAATTTTTACAAGAATGAAGTACTCAACGAGTTCTACACATTAAACGGTTCGGATTAGGGTCATTGCGGATTGGGTTGGGTGACATCCCATCTGCTATCCGTCTAAAATTAGGTGGATTGAAAAAAATCAATCCATATCCGTCCACTGATTGGCGGATGTGGATTGAGCAAGTCGTGCAGGTTGGTGGATGGATGCCATCAGTTTGCTGGTTTGAGCTTTACAAATTTTGGGCATTTTTTTGAATTATAATTCATAACTTTTATAATCTCCTATAACTAGTAACGTGAAAAAATATGTTTTATTTGTCTATAATAGGCCATGGAAGTATGCATGTATATTTTTAAGGTATTATTTTCTATTATCACAAAAATATATATTTTATTATTTCTACTCTATGTTGTTATTTGTTAGCAATTTTTTTTTTTTTAACTTCATCTACGGGAAAATCAGATTCATGCGGGTGCGGGATGGTTGATCTACCATCCAAACCGTATCCGCAGATTTTGAAATATTTCATTCGCATCCATTTGCCGAAAGACACACATTCGCCTAAAATCAATTGGGTTGGGTCGGTTCGATCTGGTTGAATGGGTTGGACAGATCCATGATCACTGCTAATTCGGATCATTGAAACAAGACTCGTGGTGAGCCCCACAGATCCAACAGTACGGTCCAATCCACAAAGTAGACTAGACAGAAGCCCATCCCATATTTTTATAGCAAAGCTCTACTAGAGATGCAACATGAGCGGACTCAACCTGAGCCCAACCTGAATTTTTTTGGGACTTGGACAAGATATTTTTGAATTCGATACATGTTTGCGCAAAAAATCAAAATTCCGTTAATTTGGGTGGGTTTAGATGAAGACATCAAACAGTCCGAGCAACCCGAAACTCGAATTATACATATATAGATATATAAAAATATTAAATATACATATAAATTATTAGTCATGACATGATATTAAAGTAATTTTGATTATTAAAATCATATTGAATATATATGAGAATGGAGTTTTGACAGTGCAAAATAGGGCTGAGCTATCAATATGATGGGCCGAGTTCAGCCCACTGTTTTGTGGCTAGCTAGGCCAAACTAAAGGACTTTTTGAGTCTGCCCAACAGAGCTAACCGAGCTCCCTCTCCTCGATCGAGATACTCGCCGCCTAGACTGAGTTAAATCCACCGATTTGTGGTAAATCGAGCAGGATTGGATCTTGGATGAAGGGTAATGACAGTGCTTGCATGTTTCCAACCGAGTTCGGTTGAGCATTGGATGGCAGCACGGCACAGGTCTCATCGGTAATGATCACACTCCTAACCAAGCCGTTGCTAGCTCGGCCAAGAGTGTCTTAGTAAAGTGCTTCTCGTGCCCCAACAATTTGTGGGGGACAAACAGTGACCTGTCCAAGTTAGTATTGTCCCTAACAAATACATGCGTGCAAGGGAATAATGGAACAAAATGTTCTTACCCCAAGACAATGGGAATAATGCGCACTACATAGAGAAATGAGATGAGTTGTCTATATAAAAGCCCTAGACTTCGGTGTTGAAGGTATGCAATCTGAAATACCCAAAAACTACTCTCGTTCTCCCATATTCTCTGAGGGTGCTAACTAGACCGTCGGAAGAGTTTTCCGGCGATACACCTGCCGGTTAGCCATCTCTGTTGTGTTTGCAGGACAAACGACACCATTAAAGTAAACAAAACATGGATGCAAGGAGTATGGAAATGAAGATTATTTATCCCCCGTACAATATATATATATATATACACAAGTAACACAAAATATTATATATTTTTTAATATTTTCACTCATAAATTGTAAAAACTATCATAGCGATGTCTCTCTTACATTACATAAATTATTTGTTTTGATATTATTAGTGATTTTCTAAAAAAATATAAATAGAATCTAATTTAACTGTTAAAAAAAAAAATACTAAAATTCATATATAATTTGGATAATGCAGACAATTCAAATTTAATTTCGGTCAAGTTTAGACTGATAATCTCAAGTTATAATTCGAACTTGGACAGATCTCCACGCAATTTAAATTAAACTTAAATAACTTCCCAACCCGATCAATAGACTCGAGTTACATCCCTCAGTTCTACAAAAACCAATTACAGCGGCCATAAAGCCACGTCCACAATGGTGTAGAGACACGCGTCGAGAAGCAGAGACGTGTCAGTTATGTAACACGTGTCCCACTGATACAAACGACAACGCTATGCAAATCAAAGGTGTCGGTTTAATCATGCACGTGCAGTTATACATTTTCCCCACCCTCTCTCCTCCCCATATATATTTATCTTTGATAATCTGCAAGTCCACACCAACGAAACACAGCATTGAAACTTTGCAAGTCCAGACCAACGAAATTCACAACCATTAAAACTTTTTACAGTTGCAGAGAGTATGGAGCCACAAATGCCACGCCCTCACGTTGATCAAAATTATGACCACGAACACCTCCCTCCTAGTGTTGGGCTGCCCCCGCCCTCCGGTCAGACACAATTAACTCCCATATGTTCTTTACCTTTTTGCCTTGCTCTGTTTTGTTTGTTGATGATTAGCTCTGCTGATTTGTTTTTTGTTTTTATTTTTCCTCTCCAGTTACAGAAGGTGAAGAAGATGAACAACATCATCATCATCATCATCATCAGGAGAAGAAATCTGTATTGAAGAAGGTGAAGGCAAAGGCGAAGAAGATAAAGGAAACACTTACAAAGCACGGCCATGGTCACGATCACGAACATGAACATGATTACCACCAACGTCATCACATTGACGAGGAGGAGGAAGATGAAGATGAAGATGAAATGGTGGAAGACTCAGAAGTCCATGGCGCACCAAGTATTTATATATATGATGATGATGCTTTCAACTAACTCATGCCTTTTTATTTTATTTATTGTGTGTGTGTGTGTGTGTGTGTGTGGGCGTGTGAGAGAGATTAAAACTTAAATCAAGTTCATATTGGATTTAGGTGTTGATAAAATGGACACTAACTGTTTGTGAATGATGAATGAATGTGTTGCAGTGTACGAGTCCGACACAATTAGGAGTGGTGTCAATTTGGGAAAACCGATGACGGTGGTGGGAGAGGATCATCGGTATGATTCTAAATTGACAACTGAGCCGCCGCCAACAAGGCCATTTGAGAATTCAGGGCCTCCTCCTATTGCCAATGTCACGAGAAGGTCAACCGCCGTGGAGGGTTCTGAATCTGAATCCACCGGGAATTTTGTGGATATTAAGAGGAGAGGGGGAAATACGGGGATCAAAATGGGAACATCAACAGCCCTGGAGGAGGATCCTCGTGCCCCCCCACAGATGTCCAATTATCACACCAAAGTTACCCATCCAAACGCTGCTCCTGGTAAGACTAAATTTTGTAATGCTTCAAATGGTATATATACATATCAACAATGCTAGGTATCATGAAAAACCTTTCATGAAAATAATCATGAAAGCTTTGTGATCCTTGGATTATACTTAGAATAAAGCACCACACTAACCAAGATAATTCAAGAATCATAAATTTTTCATGATCATTTTCATAAAAAAAATTTCATGATCCCTAACTTTTTCCTATACCTATATATTTCCTATTGCAAGAATGCTTTGATATATACTTCTTATTTAACAATGTATGAATGAGATTATAAAATGTTAGAAAATATTTGTCATATATTGCACAAGTTGCACAAGATAATCAAGTGTGTACATCTTTTCTTTTTTTCGCCTATATTTGTCTATACTTCTATACTATTACATAAAGCAAACATGGTTCTTGGTATGAATTTTTTTTGCCCTTTTGTAACTGTCAAATTCAAAATCATGTGGATGAGCATACTTCTAGTATATATTCTATCTATTCTATTCTATTCTATAAAACAACCATAATTCTTGATATGAACCCCTTCTGTCACGCTTTTTTTATTTCCAAATTCAAAATCAAAGTCTTTTATTTTATTTTTTTATGTGTGCCCACATCCTTCCATTTGTTGATTTAAATTTAATAGGAGAATTCATACTGTTTGAGTTTTTACTTGTGGTCTGCAGTTATGTTTTTGAGCGGGCTGTATAGTTATGTCACACGGTTTTTGCGGTGGAATAACATGCGGGCTTAGTTATGCATATAGAAAATGATATATGGGTAAATGAATTTTAATTGTTTTCAAATAGAGTCAAGATTGACAAATGTCTAAAATGAAAAATCTACAAGATTGACTCATGAATCTGTGTATCTATATATATTATATATATCTACTGGGATCATATGTAAGAGATGTTATTTATTTTTTTAAATCTAACCAATATGATGTGTGTGTACTGTAGTCTAAGTAAATTTAATACGGTGCATCAAAATAAATCTTTGGGTGAGTGATATTGCTGCGGACAAAACTTAAAAAAAAAAAGAAAAAGAAAAAAAGAAGAAGCAGCATCTCTCTTTTAAATACATGTATTAGGTCAAATTATTTTCGTTTCTTATTCAATCAATCCAATTTAAGAGGGTGGTTAATGTCAAATTTAAATTTTAGCATGTTAAAGTGTTGTAACTTTGGTAATCTTGTTCTAATTGTGAAAATTCTTTATATATATATATATATTATATACACAAAATGTCAAAAATGCTGTCAAATTTTGTGCTAAATTTGATGAGTTCTGGCAAATTTTAGTTTTAATATACATAACTGTAACAACAGTAGAAGTGGATACTGAATAAATGTTGTTACCAATTAACCTGTATAACAACAGGTGGTGAGGAAGCTGGAATTACTCCAATTCTTCAGTCTTTTAAGAAAATGAATGTTTATGATAATGATGAAGAACCAGAATCAAAACCAAAACCCCAAGGGGCAGCAAATTTGTATACAGGAAGTCATGACAGGTTCTCTCCAGAGCCACTGCCACTACATACCAGGACCGACCAGGAAGGTCCAGGATCCGTCTTGAAAAGGTTTGACGCTACTAAACCCGAAGATATGCCACGCGACACATTCAGCAAACAACCGTCAGATCAAAGCAGTGGTTACACATACACTGAGAAGATCTCATCTGCCACTTCTGCAATTGCTGACAAAGCTATCACTGCTAAAAATGTTGTTGCTTCTAAGCTGTTGGGATATGGCAGTAATGAAGACACCACATCAACATCAACATCAACAAAAAACACTCGTCAAGGAGATGAAGAAACTACTGACAAGGCAGAGTATGGACACAAAATTGCTGCGGCACTGACAGAGAAGCTAGCACCCATGTACGAGAAGGTCACAGATGTAGGGAATTCAGTGATGTCCAAGGTGCACAACACCTGCACCGACACTGACACCAGCACAGGACAGGAAAGAGGAGATAGAGGGCAGGATGGAGTGTCGGTGAAGGAGTATTTAGTGAAGAAGTTAAGGCCAAGCGAGGAAGACAAGTTGCTTTCCGAGATGATATCAGATGCGTTGCATAAGCGAAAACAAGAAGTGGTGGAAGAGAAGCCAATGGGGAAGGTGACAGAGTCGGAGGAAGTGGCGAGGCGGTTGGGTAATACTAGTAGGGGAAGCAGTGATGAAGATTCTTCTAGCAGGGAAGGGACTGCCGCTGATTCTGGCAAGGCTGTGGCTGTGGCTGTGGTGGACAGACTTAAAGGTGCTATTAGTACGTGGTTCTTCAGTGGACGAGATCAATCCCAAACTTCTCAACCATCACTTGCACATGGTATTCCTCAACCATTTAATAATTTTTCTAATTTCCTAATTCTAAGCTTCGGAGCAGCAGCATATTTTATTTGATTCTCTTAACTGACTAGTTTGAAAATAATAGGATGAATGAATGAAAATATTTTGATTGACTTCTTTTTTCTTTTTCTTTTTTCTTTTTTAAATTAAATGCCATCTATTTAGTTTGGGTTTTTAATAAAACAAATTAAATTTCAGTTCAGTTTTGATTTTAGCATCTATAAAACGAACTTTACCAAAATTGACTGATCTATGTATACATTTTTAAATATAACACATACATAGTGGTGCAAATGATATATTCTCTACACAAATATTGATCAAACCGAACTAACTGTAAGCACTACAATTCAAAAGTGTCCTTTAGTCGCCAACCCAAGTGAAAAAAAAAAAAAAGTGTGTGTCCTTTAGTCCTTCAAATATTTATGAGATTTGTTTCTGTTTGTTTTGTGGATTCCAGCAGGTCAAGAACAAATGTCAAGTTCCACAGGTGAAGAAGTTGGTTATGTTCATGGGCAAGACGATGGTGTTGGAGACCGCTGACTCTAGGAATCAGCTAACGGAGCTGAGCCGAGCTCTTGGAAAAGTTGGTTGTGTTCTCTTGGACTGATGAAGCGTGTTTGCCAGTTGTGTGTTTTGAGATGAATGTTTTTAATAAGTGAAAGTGAATTGACACTTAGATGTTTGTGTTGCTGTGTATAATGTTACAATAAGTTTAGGAATATAAATATGTTTTACATGGGGTGTGTTTCGCAATTAGGTCTCACACAATATAGGTCTCACTTCATTTGAGACATGTATCTCATTCTGTGTTAGGTGTTTGTGTTTCTAGCATTACATGTACGTCCTATGAGTTTGAATTATTTGGATTTCTATGCTTTGACCCTCCCCTCCCAAAAAAAAAAAAAAAAAATTATGATTAGACACAATGAGACTTATAATTTCGGTATCTACTTCAATGCCCCTTCGTATGATCGGAAATCCCAACATTTTCCATGTTGTTACACCGAAGGTGCATTTTTGCAAGTTTAACCTCGATCTGTATTCCATGATCCGTTGAAAGAATTTTTCCAATGCGGTCTAGTGGCCTTCTCACTCTTTGGATTTGACAATTATGTCGTCCATATACACCTCAACCTCTTTGTGGATCATATTATGCAGAATAATGGTCGTGGCCCTCTGATAGGTAGTCCCAGCATTTTTCAACCCAAACGGCATAACTCGGTAGTAATACGGACCCCATGGTGTGGTGAAAACTGTCTTTTCCCTATCATCCGGTGCCATCAGAATTTGATCGTACCCAGAAAACCCATCTATAAACGAAAGTAAAGCATGGCTAGTAGTAAAGTTTACCAACTCATCTATTTGTGGCAGTGGAAAGTCATCCTTCGGGTTGGCTGTGTTCAAATCCCGAAAGTCGACACAAACTCGAATTCTGTCATCCTTCTTCGGCACTGGGACGATATTGGCCAACCAGGTCGGATACTCGGATACTAACAAGAATCTTGCATCAGTCTGCTTGGTGTGACCTCTTCCTTGATTTTTAGTGTCCAATCTTGACGAATTCTGCGTAGTTTTTGTTTAACTGGGCTGGCCTTAGAGTCAAGAGGGATCCAGTGCTATACAATCTCAGGATCGATTCTAGGCATGTCTTCGTAGGACCACACAAAAATATCTTTTAAATCTTTTAATAAAGCGATTAAACGCTCGCTCTCCTCCGAAAACAACGCGGACCCGATCTGGACCATGCGTAGATCCGATCTGGACCAAGCGTGGATCCGATCTGGACCAAGCGTGGATCCTTCTCATTACCCACATTAATGGCAACGATTTCATCAATACAGGGCTTAGCAAACCTCTCATCTTCTCGATTAATCAAAATTTTCAAAGCCAGAGGAATTTCTTCCTTTTCGTTTTCATTAAAACTCTGAAAATTTTGGTCAATGCAATAAACTAGCAGTACAGAAAAGTACACAGAATCTGCTGAGTTCTCATTCAAAAGGTCCAGATCTTTAGTTATAGAATCAAAAGAAAAGTTGAATGCAGACCTAGACAGGACTTTGGTATCCGGGTTACCACCCCCAAGAAAATCAGACTCAAACTCAGAAGAACTTGAATCTGATCCCGACTCCACAGACTCATTGGAATCAGATTCTAGCTCATCACCCGATTCAAAACTGGAAAGAAAGCCTTCCTCCAGCTGCCAAGTAAGACGTGGAGCCTTCAATACATCCAAAATTCTAGAGATTGGGTCCACACCTGGTTCTTCCCCGATCATAGAGACAGTAAAGTTATACCCCAAGTTCTCTAGGTCGACCGTAGGATTTGTTAAGAGATTGGCCAACGTTGCCCCCACTTCAACCTCGTTATTATCTGAGTCATCTTCCGTGCTTTGGTTAGCTTTGATGCTTGGTTTAGCCCTTTCCTCATCCCTATCCTGCAGCTGCAAATCAAGGAAAATCTTGAATCCGGGTATGCACTTCTTTGAGGAATTTACCCAAGGCTCAGGAAAGCCACGAAAAGGGAAATCCTCTTCCTCTCAAACAAAACGACGTTGAGCATCCCCAGAATTCGCCTGTGGACGAGCTTATAATGCTTTCTAGCTTTCTTGGCTTTAACTCTGCCTCTAATTTCTTCTCCCTTCCTTATCCAGTCATCTTTGGTGGGCACATAGCCCAGTCCAAAGGTATATGGATTGTGTGGCACCTCCGCCAGTGTTGCAACACCTTTCCAACCACACTTTCCAAGTCCCATTCCTGAAACATGCTGCAGTTTGTTCATAAGGTATATAGATTGGGCACTGACGTTCATGCCTTCGTCCGTGGCCAAAATGGTCTACACCACTCGGGCTTCAGCTAGAGTGAATCCCGATAGGAATACATCTTCATCGCCATGGTTGATTTCTAGCACTGGCGTAGTCATCTCCGAGGTGGATGGATGGATGAGTTCCCAAAAATAATTGCTACTCTTCTCTCATGAGGATATTTCAACATTTGATGGAAGGTGGAGGACACCGCCTTCACATGATGTAACCAAGGCCTCCCTAACAGTAGACTAAAGGTAGCCAGTACATTCAGGATATGAAACTCGATCTCTTGCTCAGCTGGGCCCACTTGGACTTGTATTTTAACTGTACCCATGACTTTTCTGCTTGAATTGTCATACGTTCGTATCACTTGGGTTGTGGGGATAAAGTCTGCCAGTTTAAGGCCAATTACATAGGCAGTACGGGACAGATAGACATTAATGGCGGAACCAATATCTACCAATACCACTGGCACACACTTCTCTTTACATTCCACAGATATATATAATGGTTTGTTGTGAGCCGAGCCTTCCAGTGGCAGCTCTTTGTCGGAGAAAGTGAGCATTGGCTTGGCACCACCAGGAAAGACCAGGCCCACAAGTTGCTCGGGCGTAGTATCAATGGACAATTTAGCTTTGTCTATTGCTGACAATACTTCCTGTCGGTGCACCCGTGAGGCCATGAGGAGTCCACAGATAGAGATATCGGCTTGGATTTTCTTAAGTTGTTTCAGTACTAACTCCACTTGTAGTTGCTTTTCTTTCTGTTTTTCGGCCTCCTTGTCCTTTCCAAATGCCTCTGCTTGATCCAGGTGCGGCGGTTTAAAATACCATTCACTGCGAGTAAGATGGTCTATTTCCTCAACATACCATGTATTATCCGGGAGGCAGCCTCCCCAATCCTCGTCGGTATGGGCCAGACACAAATCATTGTCATCCCACCACTCGCCGTCAACTGCCGACAAACATTTGTCCAACTCCACCTGAATCATCTTCACAGTATAAATGCCCCCTTTAGGGTGACACGTGGTTGCAGTTTTCTGACTATCCTCAACTCTCTCTCTCTCTATCAAACTACCGTAATGCAACTTCCTGTTCAGTATTTACAGTGTTTATAACACCCACTTGTTGGGCTGAGTTTTCCACATATGTGCCCTCCGGCAATTTTCCTTTTTTATCAGCCTTTCTAGCTACTGCAGCTACCTCTGCTTCCTTTCCCTCTAAATTCATCCCAGTTTCTTCTTCCTTGTCTGGCTCATCACTCAGCCATCCGATACTATCCGTTGATCCGTTCAGGTTAAACCACCCGAACTGTACATCTCCTTAATCATGCTTATCAAAGAACTGCAAGTTGTCCAAATCTTCTTTGAGGTCTTCCAAATCATCTAACCGTTGGTTCAGGCCACTCTTCCTGACTACATTGATGCCTACCGATATTGGTAGCACCACTTTAGGTCTGCTTTGACTGGTTGGCGCAATATAGTAACTCAGATTGTATGCCATTTCAAACAAGTCCTCAGGATACTTTGACGACAGGCCAATACCTCCCTCTGAGGCCATACCCTCCTTTACCATGGGTATTGTCACTACATTGTGAGGTTCAGGTTGTGGCTTAAATGCGCCCATCATGCACAGATCTGTTCCCTTAGGAATAAACAACATTGGTTTCAGTAGGTAGGAGGGGGTAATATATATGCTGGGGTCATAAGAAGTGGCCAGTGTATGGATAAGGTTAAGGTTTTAGGGTGGGGGAACTTGATTATGGGCTGGGAGTGGATTTGTGGTTACATTTGGTTTTGGAGGTGGAGCGATAACCTTGTCGTTAAATAGATCTTGAATCTCATGACACAAACAGTAGCACTGGTCAGTGTTATGACCATGCTGTTGGAGAAAAGCACAGTACTTTGCAGGATTATGCTTGGGTAGAAGAGAGTCAGGGAGTGGACGAGGTTCTACGGGTTTGAGGTGCCCTTTTTTGATTAGCACTTGCATGGCTTTGGAAAGGGTCATATATAGTTGGTTAAAAGTCCTCTGGGGTCGGGTGGGGTTGGATGATGTTTGTGGTCCTGTATTGGCAAAGGAGACAACAATTTTTGTCGGGGTGACAACACTTACATTCGATGGCCTCACAGTTGTGCTACTACTGGTAGCATTAGAACTGCGAACAAACGGCCTTTTTTCGGCTCCTTCTCGTTTATAATAAGCCCCTGCTTCATGGCATCTTCAATTTGCACTCCCATTTCATGAAGTTCTATAAATGTAAACAACTAGAGCACAATCATTTTCTGCAATAACATGCCATGCAGATTCTGGACAACCATTCTGATCTGGTCTTTCTTGGAAGGCCTCATGGTCATCATCGAGGCTTTAGTTCTCTATCTTGTCACAAATTCAAAGAAACCCTCATTCGGCTTTTGGCGTGTTGCCTTGAGATCATGAGTTGTGACCTCAATCTGCGTATTGTAAAAGTACTGAGCAATGAAGGCTTCGATCATCTCCTCCCAATTCTGTTTGACGAAATCTTCCAACTTAGCATACCAAATGGCCGTTATACCCGACATGGTGTGACCAAAGAGAGACAGCTTTTGTAGTCTAGTTAAGCCTATCGGCCGCAAAATATCTGAAAACATTCGCAAGTGAAACATCGAATCTCCCGGAACTGTCAAAACGATCAATGTGCGACATCTTAAACCGATCCGATAATGTAACCGCAGAATCAGTGTATCCATTTTCTATGTTTGGAATAGAATTGACACCTTGTAACCGCAGAATCAGTGTATCCATCTTCTATGTTTGGAATACAATTGATACCTTGTGCTCTTTTGAATAGTTTCTCCAGTTTGTTGACCTTGAGTGCAGTTAGGTCAACCTCGA